ATCCTTTAATGGGCTCCAACACCAATATTTTCCCTTCAGGTGAAATGTTGTCCCTTGTTAAATGCAGTGATGGGGAGTAACAGCGTTACTTACGCCGTTACCTTGTTTTAGTAACGAGTAATCTAACTAATTACTTTGACTGTAACTATAATGCAGTTACCATTGCAGACAGCCCGTTACTGCACGTTACTCACGTCGCACAATTAATCTTTTTTTCATGATAGGACTCGTGCGCGCCTTGTCATGAGAGAGGGGAGGATGAGATTGGCTGTTACGGGTGTTAACGTACAGCACACACAGAGAGAGGGAGAGTGAGGAGGGCTCCAGCAGCAAAACAGCGTTTTCCAGATGGAAATACTGGTGTTACGTAGAGCTGCGTTTCCCCATCAGATACGGTTTCCCCTGCATCTCCGCACAGCGCAGGCGGCACGATTCACCGCACAAGCGACAGGAAACACGCATGCTCACTAAAGGTGTGTAACAGCCGCCCTGTGCTCGGGCCACAGGGGAACTACGGAGAGCGTGAAGGATCAAATGTTAGCCGAAAGGGAGAAATCGGGAGGGATAGATAGATACTCTGCCTTTTCAACCTACTAGATAGATAGATAGATAGATAGATAGATAGATAGATAGATAGATAGATAGATAGATAGATAGATAGATAGATAGATAGATAGATAGATAGATAGATAGATACACTATATTGCCAAAAGTATTTGCTCACCTGCCTTGACTCACATATGAGCTTAAGTGACATCCCGTTCCTAATCCATAGGGTTCAATATGACGTCGGTCCACCCTTTGCAGCTAGAACAGCTTCAACTCTTCTGGGAAGGCTGTCCACAAGGTTTAGGAGTGTGTTTATGGGAATTTTTGACCATTCTTCCAGAAGCGCATTTGTGAGGTCGCACACTGATGTTGGACGAGAAGGCCTGGCTCTCAGTCTCCGCTCTAATTCATCCCAAAGGTGTTCTATCGGGTTGAGGTCAGGACTCTGTGCAGGCCAGTCAAGTTCATCCACACCAGACTCTGTCATCCATGTCTTTATGGACCTTGCTTTGTGCACTGGTGCACAGTCATGTTGGAAGAGGAAGGGGCCAGCTCCAAACTGTTCCCACAAAGTTGGGAGCATGGAATTGTCCAAAATGTCTTGGTATGCTGAAGCATTCAGAGTTCCTTTCACTGGAACTAAGGGGCCAAGCCCAGCTCCTGAAAAACAACCCCACACCATAATCCCCCCTCCACCAAACTTTACACTTGGCACAATGCAGTCAGACAAGTACCGTTCTCCTGGCAACCGCCAAACCCAGACCCGTCCATCAGATTGCCAGATGGAGAAGCGCGATTCGTCACTCCAGAGAACGCGTCTCCACTGCTCTAGAGTCCAGTGGCGGCGTGCTTTACACCACCGCATCCGACGCTTTGCATTGCACTTGGTGATGTATGGCTTGGATGCAGCTGCTCGACCATGGAAACCCATTCCATGAAGCTCTCTGCGCACTGTTCTATAGCTAATCTGAAGGCCACATGAAGTTTGGAGGTCTGTAGTGATTGACTCTGCAGAAAGTTGGCGACCTCTTCGCACTATGCGCGTCAGCATCCGCTGACCCCGCTCCGTCAGTTTACGTGGCCTACCACTTCGTGGCTGAGTTGCTGTCGTTCCCAAACACTTCCATTTTCTTATAATACAGCTGACAGTTGACTGTGGAATATTTAGGAGCGAGGAAATTTCACGACTGGATTTGTTGCACAGGTGGCATCCTATCACAGTTCCACGCTGGAATTCACTGAGCTCCTGAGAGCGACCCATTCTTTCACAAATGTTTGTAAAAACAGTCTGCATGCCTAGGTGCTTGAATTTATACACCTGTGGCCATGGAAGTGATTGGAACACCTGATTCCAATAATTTGGATGGGTGAGCAAATACTTTTGGCAATATAGTGTAGATAGATAGATAGATAGATAGATAGATAGATAGATAGATAGATAGATAGATAGATAGATAGATAGATAGATAGATAGATAGATAGATAGATAGATAGATAGATGATAGATAGATAGATAGATAGATAGATAGATAGATAGATAGATAGATAGATAGATAGATAGATAGATAGATAGATAGATAGATAGATAGATGTTGCAGTATCTATAACAACCCAAACACACAGGATTTCAGAATTAGACATCCCCAGTTATTAATTTCAAACACTTACAGATCAGAACGTCCTGTTAAAAAACTTCACACCCATGAGTAGAGGTAATGCAGCCTGATGATATTTACACCGCATCAGATAGCGTTCCCCCCATGTTAAGCAGGAGGAACGCTATCTGCCGGGGTTTATAGCCTAGACATAGCATCTCATCACTATGAATCTGTCTATATTTTTGCTCCATTTAGTTGATTTTCCCTCCCACATAAAAGGACATTCGCTGGATTTGATTTGCTGCTCTGGTTTAATCCCCTCTAACTGTTCTGCTGATGATGTCCATATTTCAGATCACTTTCTTCTGTCCTTCAACGTTTCCCTGTCTCTCTCCATAATCAAGCCTGTCTGCCAGATTTCCTTCCGCAATATTAAGAACATAAACACAGACATTTTATCCTCCCACATTGACAATATCCCAATCCCTGCTCTTTCCTCTCTGACCACCATGTCACCCACTACAATTCTGGACTTTCCAATATTCTCAATTCCCTTGCCCCTCTCAAAACCCGCTCTGTGTCCTTTTCCCGCTCTGCGCCTTGGTTTACTCCTGAGCTCCGCCTCATGTATTCTAGTTAGACCTGTAATTCTTTGATAACCTTCTTTAATGAGAAAATCTGCTCCATTCACCAGCAATTACATATGACCGCCTTGCCTCCCCCTTCCCCTCCGCCCCTCCCCCGTAGCCAGTCATTCTCCTCCTTCCTACTGCCCACTTCTACTGAAATTTCTGACCTCATTCGAAAATCCAAGTCCTCTACCTGTTCTCTTGACCCCCTCCCCCACAGCTCTGGTCAAAACCTGTCTTCCTCCCTCCCCTCCTTCATTACTTCCATTATTCATTGCTCACTCTCTTCTGGTATTGTTCCTTCACTTTTCAAAACTGCATCTGTCTCCCCGATTCTGAAAAAACCTGGTTCTGATCCCTCTGACTTTCCTAATCTTCGTCCCATTTCTAATCTTCCCTTTATCTCTAAAATACTTGAAAAAATAGTGTCTGCTCAACTCCACACCATTCTTACCCTCAACAGTCTTTACGAGCCTTTCCAGTCTGGTTTTCGCCCCTCTCATAGCACTGAAACCTCCCCAATAAAAATCGCAAACGATCTCCTTATAGCTGCTGACTCTGGACTCCTCTCCATCCTCATCTTCTCGATCTCAGTGCGGCCTTTGATACCATTTCTCATCCCATTCCCCTCAATAGATTATCCTCTCTTGGCATCTCTCACACCCCTCTTGACTGGTTCCGCTCATATCTCTCCGACCGCACTCAGTTTATTCAGCTCAAATCTTTCACATCGCACCCTTCCCCTGTCACTTCTGGTGTTCCTCAAGGCTCAGTTCTTCCCCCCTCCTCTTTATCACCTACCTCCTTCCCCTTGGCAGTATTTTTCAGAAATTCAACATTCATTTTCACTATTATACGGGTGACACGCAGCTTTATTTATCCAGCAAACCCACTTCCTCACTCCCCCCCCTTGTCCCTTACTAACTGCCTACTTGAAATTAAAGACTGGTTCACCTCAAACTTCCTTAAACTAAACAGCGATAAAACAGAACTCCTCCTCGTTGCCACTAAATCCCCCCCTATCCAAAATCAAAAGTTTCTCACTACCCATTGACAACTCCTTGGTCTCCCCCTCCCCTCAGGTCAAGAGTCTGGGTGTCATCCTCAACTCCTCCCTCTCCTTTCAGTCTCACATAAACAAAATTACCAGGTCTGCATACTTCCACCTTCGCAACATTAACCGTCTCCGTTCCTCCCTCACCACTCATACTGCCTCTGTCCTTATCCACAGTCTCATCACCTCCTGTCTTGATTATTGTAATTCTCTTCTTTTCGCCTCCCACATAAATCTCTCCATAAACTCCAACTTCTTCAGAACTCAGCTGCTCGTGTCATCACCAGAACCCCCTCCTTCCATCATATTTCCCCTGTCCTTCACCAACTCCATTGGCTCCCAGATCAATTCAGAATTCAATTTAAAATCCTTCTCTATACTTTCAAATCCATCCATAACCTTGCTCCTCCATATCTGTCAGACCTCCTTCACATTGCCACCTCCTCCCGCTCCCTTAGATCCTCCTCCTCCATCCACCTCACTGTACCCCCAGCTCGACTTGTCAACATGGGGAGCAGAGCCTTTAGCCGCTCGCTTATCTGTGAATACACGGCTCTTTTCCCGATCCATAATTGTTTTTATCTTCCTGTATCTGTATTTTGTATTTTCATATTTCTTTTTATTTATCTTTTGTATTTTCTGTAAAGTGACCTTGAGTGTCAAGAAAGGCACTGTTAAATAAAATGTATTATTATTATAAATTGTCTGCCTGCTATTTTTGCATCTTTGTTTCTGGGGCGTCACAGATAATAAATAAATACTATTATTCTTAGCTAGAAAAGAGGATGTGTGTTAGACTCCTGACCACACAGGTTTGCTTTTCTGAAAACTGAAGAGATATTTGTGGTCGCATTCACTAAGAAATGGAAACTTGAATCAAAAAGCTCGTCATAACAGAAACAAATATTTATTTCTTTTTAATCAGCCTGGATATCTTTAGGAATTGTTTTTAAGTCCTGAAGAAGATCCGGTCATAACGGAGTCTGTTCAAAGCTTCTTACCTCCTTTCAAAATGTTGGGCGGGGTGTCATATTCCCACTTGATCTTGGTTATTAGGTGATACAGCTGAGCCACGTATCTGAAAAGGAAACATTTGCTGTTCAAATATAAAACTGAAAATACTGAATTTAAAATCTGAAAACCCAAAGTTCAGTCAAACATGGCTGCTGTGTTTTTTAACTGCTTCACCTTTCGTGCTTCCTAATATAAAACCAGACACAGACTGCTTCTGTAAGAGAAACCATGAGGGCTAAATATAAATGTTTACTAAACTTCTCAGCAAGAGGAAAAATGTCACATTGTCCTCCCACTGCTGATTTATAGTGAGTAGGGCTGCAACTAATGATTATTTTAAAAATCTATGAATCGGACGATTATTTTTTCGATTAATCAATGAATCGGACAAAAAATATTATTTATATAAACCTCTTTATTCCAAAATAAACATTTTAGACAGAACAAACAAGCACACAAGTACAGGTTGCTCATTAACTGTCCTGGTGCAATATGAAAAATAAATGTTTGTGTTAAAACTACGCAAACTTACATGAGAAATGTAGCTGTACATCCACAAAATATAGGCTACTTTGTTTCATAAAGCGCAAAAAAGACATTTTTGTTTTTAAAAGCCCCTAAGGGGTTCAAACAATAGCCCCCCCACCCCCACCCCCCATTTCAACAAATGAGGTTTTTTTTACTAGAAGAGTTCTGCCTTTTAAGACAGGAAAGTATAGCAGTTAAAGTTGCTACTTGAGAAAATACTGAACCATAGAGATAAAAATAGCCCTGTGATTCAAATTATAAATTGTATTTGGAATAAAAATGAGAGAACTAGGGGTGTTAAAAAACACATCCTCCAAAGACAGATATTTACATGGGAATGTGGCATATAATTAATTGACATATAGCTGATCTTGCTGGATTTTATTCTGCTTTACTTCCAGAAATTGCAGGATCTTCTTTATCTTTACCAGAAGATTTAAACTTTAAAAGCCTTGCCCTCATAATTTGCAAGTTAATTTATTTATAAAGAAAATATAAACGCTGCTTAAGCTAATTCAAATGAAATTAAAAGTAAAATAAGAAGCCAACCTTATCACTGGCTGTAACCTACTAACAAGGTAAGGAAAGCATCAGATGAGCTACCTGAGAAACCAACGGTACATTTCCCCACTTTAAAACGAAACAAACATGGTGGTTCACCCTGCTGATCAGCTCTCTTCACTGCCTTTGAAGGCTCCATCGTGTTTCCTTTTCAGGTGCTGCATCATAACAGTGGTGCTTCCGTGCCATGTTCATTTACAAAAGTTGCATCTTACGACTTTTTTTTTCCGACTTTTTAACGCTTTAATCCCGGCGCATGCGCGCTTCATTTGCAGTCTGGACGCTGAGGGTAAACATCCTGCGGCTCTGACTGAAGCGCTGAGAGGGACTCCTGCGGGAGAACGGGCTTGGGATGGGGGAGGCGCCCCACGGCAGCAGCTGCCGCTGGAGGACAGGAGTAGGAACGATACGTGCTTTCACGTAAGAGTCTCCAAAAGCCGCCAGTGACACCGTAAAAAGTCGCCAGATTTGTCGCTAGTCGCCTTTTTGAAAAATAGTTGGCAACACTGCACCTGCGGCGCTGGCTCGCTCTGCCGTTTTTTTTTTTTCTTCCCCCGTTTCAGTCAAGTGGCAGTGATACTATGGCGGCGGATGACGCATTAATCGCGCGACACAACTAATCGATGATGAAATTTGTTGCCAATGCTTTTAAAAATCGATTTTTATTGATTTTATCGATTCGTTGTTGTAGCCCTAATAGTGAGCAAAATAAGTTTTTGAACACCCTGCTATTTTGCAAGTTCTCCCCCTTAGAAATCCTGGGGGGTTCTGGAATTGTCATCATAGGTGCGTGTCCACTGTGAGAGACTAGGGCTCCGTTCACACTGCAGGCCTTGATGCACAATTCCGATCTTGCCGCTTCTTCATAGCAAGACCCAGAATAGTGACCTTTGTCGGGTATTAATGGCGTTCAGGTCGGATGAATGCGACCTGGCCGTTCACACACAGGTCGCTTTGAAAAGCTCAGATTCATATCGGATTCAGGACCACATAGCCAAGTGGCCTGGGTCGCATTGGAAAAAATCGGATCTGAGTTGTTCAGACTGTCAAGATCAGATACAGGTCGCATATGGGCCAAAAGAACCGGATTTGGGTCACTTTGTAACGTAGCTATAATCTAAATAAAATATCCAGAAATCACAATGTGTATTCTTTAAACTATTTATTTGTATGATGCAGCTGCAAATAAGTATCTGAACAACCGTCTATCAGCTCAAATTCTGACCCTTAAAGACCTGTTAGTCTGCCCTCAAATTGTTCACCTCCACTCCAGTTATTATCCTAAATTAGATGCACCTGTTTGAGGTCGTTAGCCACATAAAGACACCTGTTCACTCCATACAATCAGTAAGAATCCAACTGCTAAAATGAGCTGCTAATGAGCCTGCCTCTAGCACGGCTGGTCCAAACATCACACGTCAGTGTGAGGGAGCTGCTGACCTCTTTTAGGATCTCCTTTACCTTCAAACACAAACGCAGGAAGGGGTCCATGGTGCTTCTCTTCTTCGGACTGCGTGCATTTAATTTAAAATATGTTTTGTCAGGCAGTCTGGCATAACGCTCAAGCTCTTTTTAGTAGCAAAAATGCGCTTATAAAATGCACAATTTATGTCATTAAAACTGCATTGGCTTGAATGTTACTTGTATCTTACCGAGGCGAGTCAAACTCCGTTTCGTTCAACTCCCCGACTTGCTTTCTCTTTAAATGTTTGTGCATCACCGAGGTACTGCCATGATACGCAAGGTCTGCTTTGCAAACCTTGCAAGTAATCTTTTTATTCGCCGTATCCAGGCTAAAATGCTCCCAAACTTTAGAAGTCTTGGTACGCGTACCTGATATTGATGCCGCCATATTTGTATGTTACCGCTCAGAGACAGAGACACTACTGCGCATGAGCGACTCGGCAGGGATCATAATCAAGTGAGATGCCTCACTCTGTTGGAAAAACGAGTCTGGCGACAATATTCGACAATGGAATTCATTGTTGACAATTTCTATCATCGATTTTTGTCGACAACGTCGACTAATCGTTGCAGCCCTAACTAAGACGTCATGGTTTGAAATCAATCATGGCACTGCAGGTACCCCTCCTTAAACCAGCACATGTAAAGGCCCACCTTAAGTTTGCCAATGACCATTTGGATGATCCAGAGGAGTCATGGGAGAAAGTCATGTGGTCAGATGAGACCAAAATCAAACTTTTTGGTCATAATTTCACTAACCGTGTTTGGAGGAAGAAGAGTGATGAGTACTAGAGACTGACATTTTTTCGGGAATCCCACGGGTCACGGGATTCCCATGGGATGGGAGTCAGTATTAGTAACGATCACGTGATTGAGACGGTACAGGATTAAACATTAACGGGAGCAGACGGGAGGGGGAGCAAACCAATAATAACAAAAAAAAAACTAGGATCGATGCCAAAAAATAAAATAAAATAGAAAGGAAAAAAAATCCAGTACTGGCGCGGCGCCGCCATTTTGTAGTTTTTTTCCTTGAAGCCTACACTATAATGCGAGTCAAAAAAACTACACGACCCAAAAACAAACAGTGCTTCCGCTCTGAGTTTTTCACCCGCGCTCAAAAAAAAAAAAAAAAAAAAACAAGAATGGGAGTGAAGCAGGAGCGGGAGTCATTCTGAATGGGAGCGGGATGGGAGTGGGAGGAATTTCACCAGGAGTGGGACGGGACAGGATTTAGATTTCTACTCTGGCCCGGGATCGGGACGGGACACCATTTTTTTCTGTGGGAGTGGGACGGGACAGGAGTGAAAATCCACTCCCGTGTCAGTCTCTAATGAGTACCATCCCAAGAACACCATCCCTACTGTGAAGCATGGGGGAGGCAGCATCATGCTTTGGGGATGTTTTTCTGCACATGGGACAGGGCGACTGCACTGCATTAAGGAAAGGATGACTGGGGCCATGTATTGAGAGATTTTGAGGAACAACCTCCTTCCCTCAGTCAGAGCATTGAAGATGGGTGGAGGCTGGGTCTTCCAACATGACAATCAACCAAAGCACAGAGCCAGGATAACCAAGGAGTGGATCTGGGAGAAGCATATCAGGGTTCTGGCATGGCCTAGCCAGTCCCCGGACCTAAACCCAATAGACAGGGGTTGACGTTAAGGATTTCGGGCAAGTGGCTTTCACATTTCATTTGCCCAGAAACAATTTTTACTTGCCCAGTATAATGTTTGATAATATAGTTCCTAATATTCATTTTTGTATATATATCAATGAAACATGTTTGTTTTTTAAATGTTTTTTGTAATTCAGTATTTTTTAAGTTTCCAGGTTCCTGGTGTGTATCGGCATGCGTCAGATAATGAACTCAAGCCTACATTACCGTGTTAACATGCTTTTCAATCCTTCCTGCACATTCTTTTCAAACTAAACTTTGCTTTAAACTGTTGTGTGCTTGGAAAATATAAATTGTAATGTTAAAAATCTAAAAAAAGAAACTTGACAGGTTAAAAACTTAAGACAAGGCTTTTGGTTGTTTTCTTCTAATGTAGGTGATTTTTGAGTGATTATGCAAATAAAATGATACAGAAACACAGGTACAATAGCGCTTTCTAGCTTGTTTGTCGTTTTGGTAACTACATCAAAATTACCGCTATGTGGACAAAAATCACGCCATCTGGCGGAAAATCACCAGGCTTTTTCAAATTACGCGACAATGTGTACAAAACAACAAAAATGGCGCCGGCAACGCTTCTGGGTCGTTTTCATCGAACATTGGTGATTTTAAAGTAATTTTGAGTGATAAATAATTTTTTTTTTTGCGATCATCGCACTTGCCCCGTGGGCAAATGCAATGAAATTTGTACTCTCCCAACAATAAAAACTACTTGCCGCGGGAGATCGGGCGATGGCTAACATCGAGCCCTGATAGAGAATGTGCTCAAACTCTGTCTCTCAGCAACAGCCCAGAAACCTGACTGATCTAGAGAAGATCTGTGTGGAGGAGTGGGCCAAAATCCCTCCTGCAGTGTGTGCAAAGCTGGGGAAAAACTACAGGAAACATTTGACCTCTGGAATTGCAATCAAAGGCTACTGTACCAAAATAAACAATGATTTTCTCAGGTGTTTGAATACTTATTTGCAGCTACATCATACAAATAAATACCGTAAATTCCGGACTATAAGCCGCTACTTTTTTCCCGCTGTTTGAACACTGCGGCCTATAATACAGTGCGGCTAATAAATTTTTTTTCTTTTTTCATGGCGCGAAAAACAGACCAATAAAATTGATGGATATTCAGAGAGGTCAAATGAAATTGTGTGATACATAATTCTCACTTTCACTGTTATTTGCAGTCTTCTAAATCAGTCATTCATACTGACCCTCAACATGGATACTCGAAGAAAAGCATACAAAACCACGGGTCACGAGAGGACGCACTTCACCTGTGTTCTGAGCTGCACAGCATCCGGACTAAAGCTTCCACCCATGGTGATTTTTAAGCGGCTGACAATGCCAAAGGAAAAAATCCCAAAAGAAATCATGGTGAAAGTTAATAAGAAAGGCTGGATGGAAGAAAGCCTAATGAAGGAATGGCTTACGGAGTGCTATGGCAAGCGTCCGGGGGGATTTTTTCATCAAAAAAAAGCACTGCTCGAAATGGACAGCATGAGGGCCCATATTACAGATTCTGTAAAAGCTGCCATCAAGAGGACAAACTCAATTGCAGCTGTGATTCCTGGGGGCACCACCAAGTATTTGCAACCACTGGACATCAGTGTGAACCGTGCATTTAAAGTGGCACTGCGCAGTAAGTGGGAGACGTGGATGACCAGTGGCGAGAAATCCTTCACCAAAACTGGCCGCATGCGAAGGGCATCTTTCACCGATGTCTGCCAGTGGGTTCTCAATGCGTGGAGCCGTGTAAAAACATCCAGCATCACCGGCGGGTTTCGGAAGGCTGGGCTGCTGCGGGATGAAGAGGACCGCGAGTGCTCAAGTGAGAGTGACAAGGATGAGACTGAAGTCAGCGACAGCATCCTGAAGCTGTGCCATTCAGACACAGAGGAAGAGGACTTTGAGGGTTTTAGTGCGCAGGAGGAAGAAGAAAATGATTCATGACTTTTCCTGGTCGGCTGCAATGTTCTGTTCAATGCGTTGTTCAATTAAAAGTCCCGGCACATGCAGCGTTATTTGCGTGTTACCGACACATGTGTTTTAAAATGTGTTACAGGTAGTAAAAAAAACAAAAAAACATTCATAATAGCCTATGTACCGTATTTGTTTTTTTATCATACGGATTAAATCAAACATTAAAAAATGCTCACATGTAATATCTTTATTTGTAAATATCTCATACAATGTGGGAAACCTGCGGCTTAAAATCCGGTGCGGCTTATAAAAGTAAAAAATTGATTTTCTTTCTAAAATTAGAGCATGCGGCTTGTAATCAGGTGCGCTTTATAGTCCGGAATTTACGGTAGTTAAAAAAATAATAAATTGTGATTTCTGGATTTTTTTTTTTAGATTATGTCTCTCATAATGGACATGCACCTAAGATGACAATTTCAGTTCCCTACATGATTGAATAGGAGAATTTGCATTTCAGTTTAAATACTTATTTCTCTCACTGTATGTGCTACTTTTTAATCAGTTCTTCACATAAAAACTCATTAAAATACGATTTGTCTTAATGTGACCAAAGATTTTAGAAATATGTTAAAGATATATGAATACTTTTAAAAAGAATTAGAATGTGTATTTTTCTGAAGCTTTCTGGCTTTTCACTCACACAGCTGATGGGATAATCTCAGTGGTGTCTTCATCCACCTCATTTTGAAGAGCCTCAAGTTCCTTCTCTGAGCTCCTCAAACTCTCCAGCTCTGACTGCAGAAACCTGGAGGACTGTTAAGGAAACCAACGTGGAACAGCACCAATAAACAGTACAGTAAACAGCCAACACACCCACACAAGAAAGGATACTGCAATTCTGAGTCTGTGATCTGACTTTTTGCCATGCACTGCTGCAGCTGCTCCTCCACATTCTCCAGCTCCTTCTTCCTGTGCTTCTTCTGCTCCTCCAAGTCCAGCAGCCTCTGACCCACATTCTCCTCCATCTCTGCGACGCCTGCTTAGAAAGGACAGTGATTGATGCTTGGAATGACAACAGCCACTTTCTCAAATGAAATGACTCATACTGAATGCCATCAGGGAAAGGGACGACCACAATGATTTATGCATATAGCCTCAAAGTAGCACAAATACCTCAAAGGAACAACTAAAGATGGGATTTCTTGCCTTCTAGAATCTGTGTCATGACCTTCTGTTTTTCCAGTATTGTATCAAACAGCGCCGGGAGTTGGCCTTTCAGTTTCTCTTTATTACGCCTTAATATTAGCTGCCTGTTGCGTGTCAGAACTGATGTTTTCCACAATAGTTTATCTAATTAAGACAGTTCCTCTGTGCGGATATACAGTTATAATCTTCATTCTGTACGTGGCAAAGATTTGGAAATGGAATGAAAGCGGCGTCCTTCAGCTAAGAACAAAGTGTAATATTTTGATAAGGCTGGAGCCATGGATGTCTCCTCATCTGCAAACTTGTATGATGTAATGATATGATGATGTGGCAGACTGGAGATGAATAAAATGCCTTTTTAACTGTTAACCTGGGCCACTGCCTGAGAGGTGAGCAGCTGCCTTCTGTAACTCTAAGCAATTTCTCTGATCTGAGTAAGATTACAATTTCTATCAGAATCTGTTGTCATGTCTCCTGGTTATTTAATACATATAAGTTCTGAAGTGTTATTTAAAGAGCTTGTCCCGAGTGATCTCTTTTCAGGGAAAAGAACCGGAGAGATAGAGCTTCAAGGTGAATACACAGAGCCTATCTTTAACAGAATAGAAAATCCCTTTATTGTCCCACAATAGGGAAATTCTGGTGTTTACAGCAGCAAATATTATGGAAAAAATGGTCCCACAATGTGGACCTGAAAAATGTATAAGAATGACATAATAGTGAAGAATAAAAAAATAAATAATGTACTGTAAAGTGTAAACTATATAAATACTGTTCCCCTGGAGAATAAATAACCAATAAACAGTTATGGACATTTTTACATTAATGGATATTTTTAAATGACAGCAGTATGTTATTTAACCGACTAAGATAGAGACTATGAACAAAACTCCATGAATGTAACAACTTATTGAGGTTGTTGGGAACAGTGATGGTTATTAATTCTTACAGCTGCTGGGATGAAAGATCTATATAATACAAACAATTCCCATTTGTATTGAGAAAGAGGTTATATTATTAAAACATAGATTCAAAGCAACCCCTGTAATCAACAAAATTATCATGAGTTTTTTCCCTTTATTTTTTTATTGTGGGATTTCGCACACAAGAAACTTTAGATATAAACAGTTTTATTAGGAGTTGATTCTTTCTATGAGGAAAAGATCAACACAGAGAGCTTCACTCTGCAGACATGTAAACAGCCCTACTGACAGTCTTCAGCTTTTCTTACCCACTTTATTTTTTAACCTTTTCATTAAAAACAACAAAATACATAAAAAAAAAAACAAAGCCTGGTTGTGTTTTTTCTTCTTTAATCATTTCTAGCAGTTAATTTTCTATGGTTAATGTCTGTTGTTGTGTTTTGTGTGAAATATTTACCAACAGGAAATGCTTAGTAATGAGAAAAGTTGTTTCCTTTTGTTTTGAATCTCAATCAGCCACTAAATACTGTTGTTCAACCCTCCGTGTTTATTTATAACTTTATATTAGTTTACTGATAAAAGAGGAAAGTTAAAGTATAAATGAATGCGAACAAACGGCTTTCATTCGTTTTGTTTACATCGCTTCTACATAGTATTACAAGCGGAACTTTAACGACTAAAGAAATAAAACATTTGAAGGTAAATATCTCTCTTTAGTATTATGGTGAAAATGATGAAATTAGTGATATTAAACCAGAGAAGCGCCTACCCTTCGTTGTTTTGCTTGATTCAAAATTAGCCTTCCGCCCCCTGCTGGCCAGTAGTAGATCAGCATGGCTGAGCATCACAGTTCAGATGAGGTAATTCTCCTTCTTTTCTATCATGGCGGATCGCAAGTAACTTTAAGGTGCATACCGCCACCTACTGTTCATAAGTGTGTAGCAACATTGTTTTACGTCTATTAAATTCTATTTTTTAATTTTGTATTCTGAAGATAAATAAATAATGCTTTCCTTAATCTATAAATATCTTTTATATTTCCTTTATTTCCCAATAATCCTTTAAGACTCCATTCTTGGCCTGTCCTTTCAACTACTCTTCTCAATTTCTCCCTTTCAGGTTCATATGTTTTACAGTTCATCAATACGTGTTCTACATTTTCTATCTCTCCACATCCTTCACATTTATCATTTTTTTTGCTCACTATTAAATATAAATTGTCATTTAAATAAGTATGACCTACTCTTAATCTGATCATTATTATTTCTTCCCTTCGGTTTCTCTCATTAATATTTCTATTTAATACTGACTTTTGTACTTTATATAATCTTCCTTCTTTTTTATCTTCATTCCACCTTTTTGTTGCATTTCTTTCCTCTTAATAAATTACTTTTCTTCCCCTTTTCCTTGTAATTGTTATTGCCACCTACACTTTGATAGATTATCACTCCTTATTTAACTATAAAACAAGCAATAGCTACACTCTAACATGGTGTAGCAATATCAAACTTGCTGCACACAAACAACACTCCATTCTGATCATACTACAACGCTGACTCCGGTGAAATATGCCTACATGTATCTCTTGTGACGTTTGTCATCAAAGCAGATAATAAATGAACAATAGCTGCACTCTAACTCAGGGATTCCCAAAGTGTGGTGCTGGCATCCCTAGGGGGCGCAAGCTGCAACCAGACTGTAATGGCGGCTTGATAATTACACAATAATAATGTTTTTGCTCACACAATAAAGACATGTCAATAAACATTTTGTCTGTAAAAATGTAAATCCAGACTGTAATTTTAATGAATGAATAGAGGAAAAATATATTTAATTAAAGAAGTCTTTTTTACGCTTCATGTTTTGAGGAAAGGCTATTCGGTCTGTTATGGTGCAAACACTCAGTCTTTCTCTGATTTGTTTTTTACTAAAAAAAAAAAAAAAAAAACAATAAAAAGAATCCTCTGAAAAAATGTCTGATTTTCCAGAAATGCTTCAGTGTTAGAAAAAGAAACTGCCTGTTTAGCAAACAAACAATTAGGGCATGTCTGCTCATCTCCAACTTCAGCTACTCTTTGTTCCTGCCACTCACATTTCTCTTTTTTTTTTCACTCACATTTCTTTTATCCTTAGTTCTTCATTCATGTCTGATGTATTTTTTTTTTCCATCAAGTCTTTCTATCTATACTTTTGTTTTTGCATACTTATGTTTATTTTACTGGGAGAAGGTCAAATTAAAACATCAATTTAAAATATATTATTTAAACATTTTTCTGAGCTCAATCCATTTCTGCTGTGGATTTGCTATGTGTTAATTAAGGTCTTTATTTCTACTCTAGGATGCACTGAGGAAGGGGCCACCCGCACTGTTTATGTTTTTTTTAATGAGTAGTTTTAGCTCACAGATTGATGTTCTTATTGATTAAATCTACTTAAACCTGACAAACTCACACAGGCACATCCAGCAACCTCAAATAAAGCATTGAGTTTTCTGATTTACGGTTCCTTAATTAATGTTTCTGGTCTAATGATTTTTTCCTCACTGCCCCAGACGCTCCGCTTCCATCTGATCCTGACCCAGAGGCCTGGTTCTGGATCCAGGATTAGGTTGATTCCATTTTAATATTATCATAGAACTGTACTCCAGTGATGAGGAAGATTTTACTGATGATGATGAGGAGGTAGAGGTTTAAGCAGTGGTGTTGCAGGAGTATGAGGAGGTGGGGATACAGGAGTTTGAGGAGTTTGAGGATGAGGAGGATGAGGATGTTAGGTGCTTTCCTGGTGAGTCTCTTGAGGTGTCTAGTGAGTTCACCAGGTATGATACTGTGAGCTCTGAGGAAGAAGATGATGAAGACAATGTCCTCCTTTCACTCCCTCTTCGG